ACACACACACACAAAAGAAAAAATAATAAAAGCTGAGTTTGTGGTTCTGGTCACTGTGCTGCTCTGCAGTGGGGGCAGCAGGCCAAGTCAGGTTTTTAAGGTGTGTGTGGGGTCATGGCAGGGCAGGATGGATGGACAGAGATGGCCAGAGATTGTTAAAATCTCTGCTGGAAAGGGAAGATGGCAGGGCGTGAGGAGATGGGGGGGGTGCAGGATGGGGGGGGGACGGGGAAGGTTTTTAACAAAGATTTAAATCTGATTAAAAGCCCCTTGTTGCCCACGGTAGCCATATGGGCAAGCTCTGCCTGCAGAGCCACCTGGGCAGCGTCAGGCCTTGCCACCTCCTTCTGCAGGTGAGCATTTGGGCACCTGGATGGGACTGGGGACCAAAATCCACTTGCTGTCCATGTTTTAGCTCTCTGGAGGAGAAAACCAGGCTCCTGGCTACCCACGGAGCAGAAGCAGGCAGCCCTCAGGGGCCAAATACTCCGAATTTTGAGCCAGGCGGGGTTTTCTGGTGATTTTACACCAGCCTTGCCGTGTGCAAACCCCTTCCCAGAGCAGCCGAGGGGAAACCACTGAGCAGACAAAAGGAAAATGCCCTCCGGCTTTCCGGGGAGTTGATTCTCCCCTTGCAGGGCGAGCTCAGCACCTTCCAAATAGCTTTTTTTCTTTGTTTGTTTGGTTGGCTGGTTGGTTTGGTTTGTTTTGGGTTTTGTGAGGAAGCAAAACGTCGCGGGCAAGTTGTGTTTCTTCTCCTTCTTGCGGGGTTTTGAGTTCCCGACGCGAGTCCCGACTTGTGCACCGGGCGAGTGGGCTGGTCCCATCCCTTCAGGTGGCTCTGTTCCCGCTTCCTTGGGTTCCCCTGCTTTGTCTTCACCTCCAACACTTTGGTACTTGCTGTCGAGAGAGAGAGAGAAAGGAATTATTTATTTTTGATGCCACAGAAGCCACGTGCGTTAACCCTTTTTTTTCTGGAGAGTGACCCGTTTTTGGAGGCGAAACCTAAAGCTGCGGTGACCCCAGCAGCTCCAGAGGGAGCAGGCTTCAGGAACGACACGTTGTGGGGTTTCCCTCCTGGCTGTTTGGTTTAGCAGCCGCTGGCATGGAGAGCCTGGTGGTGCTGATGGAGCTCCCACATCCCGGGAGTTTGTTCCACCCGGCCGAGCATCCCCCTTGGAGAGACGGCAGAGCCCTGGGAGGTGCAGGTGGGACGCTGTGCTGGGGCTGTTCCCACCGGCTCTGCTTTCTGCAATAATTAAAGAGACTTTTCCAACGAGTAGCTCATGGCTCCCGTGGTATTTCTGTCCCGTTCCACAACCATTCCCTGGTTTTTTTCCCCCCACGTGAAGGCGTCACCCGCGGGTGGGCTGCGAGAAGAGGTTCCTCAGCAGGACATCTGAGGGAAACTGTCTGAGCTCTTTGTGAGGGTTGTGTGTCTT